TTGAGACTACCGCCAACAAATATAACACAAGAAGTTACTAAAAATATTTTATCTTCAACAGTAATGCACAGCATATACCTGTCTCTTATACACATCTAGATGTGTATAAGAGACAGCATACACAACTCTGCATTGCTCCGCCATCTTGTCAGCACTCTAGTTGTTTAATAGCTCTATGGATGATGATGAATTTTACAAAAAGTGTCATTTCTGGCCATCTAGAGGTACTATTTCCTCAAATTTTCTCACCTCAGCTCCAACTATGGTGGGTCTGAGGTGGGTGTTGACTCACAAAATGTCCTCCCTCTCCACCTTTCAAAACAGATCTGTGCCCTTCCATGGGTATGACATTAAACTCCTTCGACTCGGCTCCTGATGTATGTCTTAGTGACTGCTGAGGCGAGGGTTCATATATTTGTTTTTAGGATGTGATCTGGTTTTTCATGTCCTTTTTTCGTGATTATGACTATTCTGGATAAAGAATGTTTTGAGCAGAGGTGGATTCAAGGCCCGTCTACCCCCACCCCCACCCCTTTCTTCAATATTTTAAGCCAAAAAAAAATATATATATTGAAATTTAAGTGTGAGAGTGTAATTTCCGGCCATCTAGAGATGCCCTAATCATACATTTTCTTACCTCAGCCCCAACCATGGTGGGGCTGAGGTGAGTGGTTCCTCAGTCTGTCAAAGCCCTTCGCTGGTTCACCTCTCTTTTGAATTCCTGGATCTGCCACTGTTGATTTATCATATAATTATTGTTGAGCTTATTTATAATGTGTCTATTGCAATTTTCACTCAAAACAGTCCTAAGAACGTTCAGAGTGCGCTACTTCGCATGGGGATTTTCCCCCTAGACCCCGCCGGGGTGCGTAATTGGCATAACGGCTCCCCCCCCCACTTTCAAAATTCTGGCTACGTCCCTGGGTTGAGGTAAGAAAATCTATGCTTATGGCACCTCTGGACGGCGGAAATGGAACTCTTAGGCTTAAATATGAGTAGAATTTTCTTTATTTTTTCTCAATTTTTGTTAATAAATTTTAAAAACTTTAGGGGGGGGGGCCGGGCCTCCCCTTAAATCCACCACTGGTTTAATATAATAATTCAGTATTTATATGATAATCGAATCTCTATCAGATCTATTCGTATTTTCTAACTTGTATGTATATGACGATATCCAGGGTCAGTGGTGGATTTAAGGGAACCGGGCCGTCCCCGGACCCAATAGAGTAGTGTTGTCTCGCGATCTCTTTCGGCCCAATTTTTTTTTATGCACGGTCAGCAATATTTACAATTTTCATGGGAAAAATCATAAATGATACTGGATGAATGTATACGTTTAATAATTTGTATATATTTCTTACCTAGTTATCCGGGCCCCTGCCGGGCCGAGCTCCATACCCCTGTTACCCCTGTCTCTCGGCGCCACTGGTCACAACGTGGGCGATTCATGCTCTTTGCATGACTTGTAAAGTTGTAATTGAACCACGATTATTAATAAAGATCAAAGATAACAATAGTTGCAGTATGTGTCTTTATTAGCCATGTTTCTGCTCTCCTGTCTTACACACATGCGCACAACGTCTTACACTAAGCGTTGCCAGAATGCACATTACAAGTTATCCAAATGGTAGTTATAGGATACTACATCTCCCTTCTACTAGATTTTTTAGAACTATTACAAAAAAAGGAATTATTGTTTCAACATTATTGAGACTACCGCCAACAAATATAACACAAGAAGTTACTAAAAATATTTTATCTTCAACAGTAATGCACAGCATATACTCTTCGACTAGCCTTTGGGGGCGCCTTGCTTGCCTGCAAGATTTACGTTTTTGTTGCCGGGCTGGGATTTGCTCCTCCCTAATAATATAATCATTACGATCTTCCCTAGGGTTTATGTGTGGTCTATTTGAGAGCCTAACTCTTTTAAAGTGTGACCAGTTTCTTGTAATTTTGTGACCATCTGGATGTTTAGCTGTAATCATATCGTGGTTCCTATTTACAACAATTAAAGGAGTTTTGGAGAAGGGTGTGGAGAACTTTTCTTGCTTCACCAAAACTACATCCCCTATGTCGAGATTACATTTTTGTATGCAACGCCGTTTCTCGGCATTTAGCTTCATCTTAACTTTGTTTTGATTATCTTTTTTTCTTATTGACTCATCACCTTCCTAGCTCGCTTCTAGAGAGTATTTTAGAATGTTGGGGTGCCCCATAATTGTTTAAAAAGGCATACATGTCCTGTTTCCAGTGGTCAGAAGTATATAGTACCTTTTTGAATTTACGCATAAAGCGCTCAACTTCACCATCGGCCTCGGGCCGCAATGGTGTGACTTTCCTGTGATAAAAACCAAGATATTTAGAAAATTTATGAAATGCTTCACTCTTAAAGGGATGGCCATTATCTGACCGGACAACCGTAGGAATCCCAAGCATGCTGAAAATTTTGTCAAGTTTTTTGGGATTACAGCATTCGCTGAGGTTGATGTTAGCAATTCGACAACAGGAACACGCAAGTAATCATCAATGATAACCATCAGATATTCATTTTTAACATGACAAATGTCAATGCTGACTCTTTTCCATCTAACTTGTGGTAATTCTGACATTTTAAGCGGGCCCCTTACTAACTGAGGAGTTGCAGCCTGACACTGGATGCACTGTTTTGCAACAGTATCACATAATGTGTCTAACTTAGGTAACCATACCTTGGTACGCAATAATCTTTTGGTTTTGTCTATCCCCTGATAGCCTTCATGGGCCAGATCAACAGCCTTGCGTCTTAAACTACAGGGAACAATATTTTTTCCTCCTAACCTAACAATATCTTGCCATCGTCTAAGCAAGTTTTTTCATCTTTGACATTCATATATACGACCAAAGGTCATCCAGAGGTGACGGAACTAGGGGGTGCTGCGTTATGGGGAGTAATGTGCGACCGGAAATGGTCTGCAGTCGGTTGTTACCATGCGCCAGTGATGTTGGAGTTCAGCAACATGAAACTATTTATGTAATGCATGAATAAAGTTCGGGGTTTGTCGCGTAGTGAAATGATTATTGTACAAGTGCTCCAGTTACTCCATGCATAAGTGTAAGCTAAATTACGGTGATTAATTAGCGGAGATATGGAGACAATTATTTCCAAGTTTCCTCGTTCCAAGAGGGGATGCAAACAGATGTGTATAAGAGACAGGCCTTTGGGGGCGCCTTGCTTGCCTGCAAGATTTACGTTTTTGTTGCCGGGCTGGGATTTGCTCCTCCCTAATAATATAATCATTACGATCTTCCCTAGGGTTTATGTGTGGTCTATTTGAGAGCCTAACTCTTTTAAAGTGTGACCAGTTTCTTGTAATTTTGTGACCATCTGGATGTTTCTGTCTCTTATACACATCTAGATGTGTATAAGAGACAGCGGGGCAGCTTTGCTACACCCCCGGAAGCTACAGCCTTTTAACAGATTATAGGAAAAATTTAATCTATTATAGAGTGCATGAAAAGTAAAAGCTCTCCTTCTTTCATTTAAACGTAGAGCTGAACAGATTCATAACATAGCTATGAAAGTTTACAGTGGCGGATCCAGGAATTTGAAACCCGACGTCTTTCCAACCAGCTGAATCCACGTTGGGCCGATGGAAAAACGGCCGTCGCGCCAACCTTTGTGTAAGTACGTTGTGCCAACGTAATTTTTCGACCTTCAACCAACGTCGGGTCAACGTCGCTTGCTAGCTGGGCAAACATTATGCAAATGTTACATGAAAACCTGGGAAGTATGGCACATCACGTTGTGTTGCCTAGCCTACTGATGTACTGTGTAGCGGGGGACGGAGAGACTATTTATTAGTAAGACTAGGCCTAAGTAGGCAGTGAAATTATGTGTGATAGGAAGTACACTTTCGAAAGAAATAAATTAAAAATAGAAAAAAAAAATAACTAAGAATAATTCAGTTGCAGACGTAACTTGTTTAAGTATTATACACAATGCTAACATTACAGTTAATTATTGTGTATCGTGACATATAATCTGAGAACATACCTCAAATTGAAATATTTGTAGTCTTAATATCCAGTTTTCGATTCGAAGTGAGGGTTGAGACCATGGGTTATCGAAAATAGAAAGTAGAGGTTTGTGGTCTTGTAAAGATCTTAAATGGTTTGCCTAAGAAGAGCCGAAAGTACAGTAGTTGCATTCCCATGCAATAGCTAGGGCCTCCCTTTCAATTTGGGAGTATCTTTTCTCAGTGGCTGTTAGTGACCTATTACCACAAAACACAACTTTGTTGTTTTGCATTAAGATTCCAGCTAAACCTACTGGACTGGCATCTACGTAAAGCTCTGTGGCTTGTGTGGGATCAAAATATGCCATGACATAATCGGAATTAAGCTTGTCTTTAAGCATTACTAAAACAGTGCTTTGCCCTTCTCCCCCATTCAAATTTGCTGTCGCTTCGGTGCAATTCACGCATTGGCGCAGCTATTGTTGCGTAGTTGGGTACGAACCTGCTGAGGAAATTAACCATGCCAAAAAGGGATCACAACTCTGCTACAGACTCAGGCGCTTTTAAAGCCTTAATTGAAGTTACCTTTTTTGGGTCAGGGGAGATCCCATCTATGGAAAACACCATACCAAAGAATGTAATACTGGATTTGTAGAACTCACATTTACCTTGGTTAACTGTGACGTTATATTCACGCAGACATTTCGAACACATCATTTAGTGCTTTATCATGCTCACTAGTGTACGAAATATTATAATGCCATCACTTATGTTAATTTGGTTCTGTACGCCACTGAGCATATTTTGACCATTTCATTTAAAATTTCATGTGCTACCATAAAACAGACGCTTATATCGAAAAAGGCATTTGTGGGTGGAAAATGTACTGATATTTTGTAAAATCGGGATGCAGAAGTAGCTGTTGGTATCCGTTATTCATATCAATTTTGCTGAAAACTGTGGCGCCTGTCAGTTTGCAAATAATGTCGTCCAGTGTTGGTGTTAGGTGCCGTTCGCGTCCAATGGCTTTGTTGGCTTCTCGCATATCCACGACCATTCGTGCTTTATTACCGTATTACTCTTGGGAACTAAAATTATAGGGTTGATCCATGTGTGCGGTCCAGGTGCATGTTCGATGACACCATCTTTCAACATTTTATCTATGCATAGTTCAACTATGGGTCTTTGGTGAAATGGTATACGTCGGTGAACTTGATTGACAGGCTGAACTGCAGGATCGATGTGCAACTTTACTGTGACATTTTTCATCTGGCCAAGCCCTTTAAACACGTCGGCGTATTTCTCAGCAATATCTGTCATGGGCTTTTGTGGAATACTGCATGTGATGTTGACAATTCCAAGCTCTACCCCTGTGGTATATTCGGTGGTGGGACCTGGACCACGCTGCACAACGAGAAAGTTTGCAAGGACAAACTTGTTGGTTGACTCTACCACTGTGCTAAATTCACCTAGAAAATCAATAGGTGTGTCTGCGGTGTACGGATATATTTTCGTGTTTGTTTTGCGAATGTCCATGTCTGTCGATCCACTGTCGATAATTTTAATTCAACGTTGTTTACTTTTAATGTTGCTGTTGATAGTTTGCGTTTGGTCATCATTGCATTCCTTACGAGAATGAATATTCGTCCTCTGATGACTCGATTTTCGGAGCATCCTTATTTATGGCACTTACTGCTTTCTTATGTGTAGACTGGGTTCCAGTCCCTAATCTTTGTCTTAATCAGTTGAAATGCTTATTTTGGCACAAATGGTGTTCCATATTACTTATTTGCATGGCGTTCCATAGTATACTTTTTTTTCTCTAATTCTCATCAAAAAAGTTTCACAACATATACTGACGCTGGTGGCGCTTCCGAAATGCGCTAAAGTACTACGAAAAATCCATAATTAGAGACTTGTGGCAAGTCTATCTTATGTGTAGCAGGTCTACGTGACTTTGATGAAGAATGACCGCCGCTTGATCTACACACACACGCAACGTGATTGTCTCTCGCATGAACTGCAGAATATCCCCATGGCTGGGCAGGGACTAGTATGTGGATAGTTTCCACCATATCTACGGCATTTATTGTTAGTTTTTGTTGCCTTATGGTAGCTATGCCTACGCTTACCTCGTGACCTCTGCTTTGTTGTGGAATGATTCACCTGTTCATTATACTGAATATGGTATTTCCCTGGCTTTCAATTTCAGTCGCCTGTTTATTTGATGCTTCAAGTGCTCTGCCATATTCTACTTTTTTTTGTAGCGTTAAAGTTGGATCTCTCAGAGCACCACGTCTTAATTTGGGCGAGCAACAGTGCGATATTACTTGCATTTTGATTTCACCATCCACATCCGCGAACGACCATGGTCTCGCTGCCTGACGTAAACGCTTCACATAGGCATCGATTGACTCAGCAGTGTTTTGTTTTAACTGACGAAAGGTGTATATGGCAAACGGGATATTTTACTGGGGTTCCAGGGAATACAGATCATTTCGGTCGCGCCTCACTTCGGTCGCGGTTTGTTTTCAACAAATATATGGAGCGCCAATGGAGTTGAAAAAACGCTAAATTTAATATTTAACTATAGGCCTAATTATCATTGTAAGTTCGTCAATCGGTTTATCATACTTTTTTTTATTATTTATGTCTTGTTGTATTTCTACTAAGTAACAATGTAGGCTACTTAAAAGCAAATAAAATGAATACTATTATTACTAAACTAACTTTCAATAATATAATGGTATTTATAGGTTATTTTCTAGTTTGTTGCATTCCTAGTACCATTTTACTCTTTTATCGGGCGGTTTTTATTTTCGTTTTGTTATCGATTTTACACTTCTACTGTACATAACAAATAGAGCAAATAAAATGAATACTAAAAATTTGGTATTTCTCTAGCTCTTAGTACGGCATTATTTTTTGATATGATAATAAATATATATATTATTATTATATATTATTATTTTTATTTATTTACATTTTATCAGGAAAAACCAGTCAATTCGTCATTTAAATTACTGTAACATTAGTTTATTAACAATTATTTTTGTTAGTAATAAAGTTTATTATTCTTATTTTATTACTGTATACAATAACTTGGTGCTATTTTTCTTTTTGAACGTTTGAGATACGTTTTTTTTTATTGTTTCTTGCGATATATATTGACATAATTTTTAGTATTAATGCTTGAATCAAATAAAGATTTATAGTATAAGTATAGTCAATAGATTAGTTTCGCATAGTTTTTTTTTCTTTTCTGTTACGTTTCCATTTACCATAAATGTTTATAATAATATTGTAAAGGAAATATGTACTATGTACCATATTTATATTTTCAATATAAAATTATCAATAATTTTATAATTGCATGCTGTACATTTTAAAAGCTTTCATGCTTCTGTTATATTCATAAGCCCGAGAAAATCACTCAAATTGCTAGGCCTATTTCTTTAGTTGCATAACTGAAGTATAATTGTGGAAAGAAACGTTTCCACAAATTTATTGCCATAGTACTCTTAAGGCGAATATGACACAAAGTTTTTGATTTCTTGTTTGTTTTATTTCCATTTTTGATACATTACTCCAAAGACAGAAGTAGGTCAGATGCTAAAATAGAGAATTGGTATTTCTAGGTACAAACACGTGCGCTGAACCGCAGTTCACCACTTCACGTGTGTTCACCTACTTCATGAAACCAGTAACTTCGAATTGTCTGCGCTGGCTGCTGATCATGTTTATAAAATATAAAAATAAATGGATAATAAAATATATATATCTGTTATATGAGTTCATGTGTAATGTAAATAAATATGTATAAACATATAAATATATATATATATATATATAGAACTGGAGGTCGCTGGTCGCTACTCGGAGTTTCACGCTATTGCGATCGTCAGGCAACTGATGAAAGGTGAACGTTGTGTGGTGATGTGACTTGCTTGTGCGGACGTAGTATGAAGTTAGGTTATTGCGGACATCGGAGTAGCTGTTCGGAGGTAGTGCTTGTTTTCGTGGCGGCATTTCGATACAAGTTCTGACCTTCTGTTTAGGAGTCCCGTCCTTCCCGCGTTGATGATGGCAAGCTTCTCTGATATACATAGGTCGCATCGTAGAGTCTTGTTGTTGAATGCCTGGGCTTTGGTGATGATAGACCAAGAGATGGTGAATGGTTGATTTTTCTTTTTGAGTTCCCATATGTATCTGGAGAGTTCGGTGCTGTGTTGGTGTTTCTCCCTCTTGAAAGATTGTGTGTGGTTGTAGTATCTGGATTTGAAGGGTGGCTCTGTCAGTCCGATGTAAACTTTAGGGT